TGACTGTTCACATCGTTGTCAGATATGAAATAATTGATGATCCACATCTACGTATATAGAAAAAAAGCATGAATGAATACATACATATAACTTTTTTCAATGCCATGCGCGTTCAGGACGCAAATGATTATGATTCATCTTTTGCTTAGTATCTATGAATTGCTATAGTTCTTTTTGGGAAAAGGTAGTGGAGTGGTTTCCCGTGAACTTCTGAACGGTTTAGAATCCAGAATAATCTCCGTCCTCGACTGACCACGATCCTAGGCGAGAGAGCCCAGCCTATGTCATTAATTAATAGGCTGAGAGAAGTAATCGAGTCACACTTTCCCCAAGGACATTTGTGCCGAAGTGAACGTTACAAAGGATTTGGGAATTTGAATTCTACTTTCATCACCAATAACAGCTACACTACCTGCACATCCTTCATAAATAATAATAAAAAAATGTATAAAAAATTCACATGTATAAGCAGCTAATGTCGGTTGCTTTGTGACGCAATAAAACTGTTATGATACGTTTTTGTTTATAGCGAAGTGTATGGCCAAGCACACCTTTCATACTTTACATGCAACCACCCCTCAAATTTAGCATTATTCAAAAATGTTGCTCATATTAATTAAGTAGGTACCAAAATGTTTCTCATATCAATTAGGTAAGAACCAAGATACTGCTTATATCAATTAGGTAGGTACCAAAATGTTGCTCATATCAATTAGATCAATACCAAAATGTTGTTCATATTAATTAGGTTACAAAAATGCTGCTCATATTAATTAGGTTGCTACCAAAATGTTGTTCCTATCAATTATGTATCAAAAGCATTACAAATTTTAGTAATGGTCACAGATTTTTTAAATATGTATATTAGTCGCAGAGAACAGAAACCGTTAGGCTTACTTGTGAGTACGATGCCACCACATCCTACAGTTTGAAAAATAAGTCCCGTACTGTATAAATCAGGGAGTGGGACATTCTTTAGATTATGCGCAACCACTGTCTCTAGGACTTTGGGTAAACATCTGTGGTTATAGCTATATTAGACTCTTTACATCAGCCTGTCTCTGGATTATGTAGTAATGGAGACGGTCGATACTATGCTGTGCAAGCTACATCTGACTGTAAACAACTCAACTGGCATCACTCATCTGAGATGCGTCGTTAAAACAAGCAAAATACAACTAATAACTTGGGACAAATTTTTGTAGAAAATACGAAAATTTTATACTGAATTAACTGCAAAGAAAGATTCAACATTCTAGAAGCAATTAGAATGTAAAAAAAAACAACACAAATTAAATAAAATATCGGATCTTTTCTGTTAAATCTTTTTTCTCTTAATTCTTTTTTCTGTTAATTCTTTTTTTTTTTTTTCTGTTAATTCTTTTTTCTGATAATTCTTTTTCTGTTAATTCTATTTTTGTTAATTTACCCCAAATAGTGTAAAGTTACTTATGGTAATATTAATCACACCAAGAAATTATAAATTTTAAATCAAAGTTTATTTGTTTTTATTAAATCTTTGGTACTCTTTTGAAATTATAAATTTTAAATCAAAATTTGTTTAGCTTGCCTCGCAACAACTCCAACTATCAGAATGAAAAATGACCAAAAATCAGGAATTTAATCACATTTTATAAGTGCGGGTGATATTTGAGGAGATTTTTGCAATTTAAAAAAAAAATTTTTAAATCTGTTTTTGGTTTGATTATCGGGGTGGGCGTCAAATTTTGGGTGATCACAACGGGAGTGCAGTGGGAGGGTCGCGCTCTGTAATAATTTGATGTGAATTTTAGTAAATATAAATTCTTTTTAATTTGGGTTGAATTAATATTTTGGGTGAATTAACAGAAAAATCCAAAATATCTTTCTCCTCATGAGATTGTATAATGAAATGTGTATAAAATATTTAGTATACATACGATATATCTAATACGCATAAAAATAACACATAAATATTCAGTATATGCTCTTTCATATAACCGTTACATATAAAGACATTTTAAACTGGTTCCAATTCCAGCTATCTAAAGATGCCAGGATTTAGTAAAAATTATATTGTCTACCATACTGTCAACACCCGGTTCTTAATAATCACTGAGATAGTAGAAAGTATTTGAGCAAAACAAGAAAAAACATGAACGTCCTATAGTTTATTCATAATTTCAATCTCGATATACAAGATCTTATTCGAAAATTGGATTAATACAGTGCAACCCGGATATAAGAGACCCGGATATAAGAGAGATTTTCTCTGGTCCCAAATTAGAGCCTGTGTTAATGTATATAAAATAGACCAAACCCGGATATAAGAGAAACCTGGATATAAGAGACTTCTTCTCCGGTCCCAACAACTCTTATATCCGGGTTACACTGTATAATAAAAATTAAGCAGAAAGACTGTGTTGGTTTAATTTAAAACTTGACTGAATTAATTTTTGCTGCCTAAATACTATTATATAACTTTTCCCCGTTATAATTCAATAAACAGTCATTTAAAAAATAACAAGTTATTTCTTTGATTATTGCCAAGTTTTAGCACGACTAAAAATAAGTCAGCCATGGGAATTATACGCGTTTGCAATGATCTGTACTATTTTCGAGACCAACTGAACCAAGTTCATAAACACAGACTGTGTTTGTACGAATGCAGGAGTCTTATCTCATTCCGTCTATATTTCTACCTTTTTTATTAGAGAGGTCGGGAAAGAAAAAGAAGTATACCGGAAAAGCAAACAATGACTTTGCCAAACATGACATTGAATTCAAAACAAAAAGATAAGCAAAAAAATAAAAATAAAAACAATACTAAATAAAAAAAATACTGAATCATTTAAACTGATGAACGAACAGACAGAACTTACCAAAGGACATTGTTGATAAATATTCGATTGAAATATTAGCAAATCCGTATAATATTCATTTGATTTTTTTCTCTCTATTTTTTTTTCTTTTTTCTTAACCAGACAAAAAAAAAAAAAAAACAGCGTTCATACATTTCAAGGAGAAATTTCAAACTTTTGATCAAGGTAACTCAAGACATGTGACCGAATACAGGCGGAACTAGAGAAATCGTTCAAAACACGAATACATACATATACACACACAAATGCGTATATAATGACAACCGATAAATTGGACTTGTCAAAGCATAAAATACTTGCCACTTGCGCACGCGCATGTACACACACACACATATGAGAATATATATACACGCATCGCATTGCGGTGTCCACTTGATAAACATAGAGAACAAAATACGCATAGATTATACACGTAGATACATCTTTGCGTGTAAGAAAAAAAAGAACTCATTTTGTACAACAAATATTTATTTTCAATATAAGCTCGTTCCTTGCCAATACACTTAATTCAGTAGTTCATCTATTCTTATATTAGAGGCTTCTGTTTTTTGTGTCTGGGCCAAAATCACACTCAAAAAAGACTCATTAACCTAATTTTGGGTATAAAAACTCCCAACACATTCAACTGTGACACTGGTTATATGAGGTTGATCCTGTGGGTCAGTCAAACTCCCCATTGGTCATCAAAGTACACAAAAGGCCATTTCTAGCCGAGGGAATTTTTAGCAAAACAGAGTGAAATACTGGGAACTACAAAACCTTTTTGACATAAAATCTTATAGTGTGGATAAGGTCAAATTCGACTTTTGAGGTCATTGTAAGTAGAATTTACTCGTGGCCTTAATTCTTTATGTTGCATCCAAACAATAACATGCTTTGCGGTAAATTGGTATGTGAGGCTAACTTGGTCAATAATACAATAGAATAAGTAGTACTAACCTCCAAACGCAATAGGATAAGTAGTACTTAGCTCCAAACTCATTGGCTGTTACCTGAGGATAATTTTGGATAAAATGTGATTTTCTTTTTTGGTTGAACAAAAGAAATTAAAAGGGGTAAAAAAAACAAAAAAAAAAAAATTATTTTTTCGATTTTTTTTGTAAAATTGAAAAAAGTTTTCAAACGAAAGTTCTATAATTGTCATGATTAAACTTGATTTTTTCAGCTATTTTAAATAAAAAAAGGGTCCCCAAAACTATAGGAACTTCCAGTGACTTTGTGAATGAGATATTTTGCTCCAAGGACAATCACAGTCGGAGAAATAAGCTCAAAGCTGTTGCAAAATCTTTTTAAGTGGATTCGGCTGTACAAGTCAATTGACACAATTTTGATTACTTCTGAGGCTGTTCATAACCCATTTGATTTCCTCAACTTGCTTACGCTGTCTGGTGTTCTTCTCTACAGACTTCAATTAAAAGTAGGGACTACCACTACACTTGAAATTTAACTCCTCAAAAGTTGAAATAAATTCGTCTAGCTGACAACGTATTATTGAGGGAACTATCTTAAATGCAGTAAACAAGGGAAACAAAAATGGATACTTTTATTCCTAGGATCGTCATAATTCTAATAGAGTTGGCCTTTCAATTCTAGCATCCTGGATGTCACCAGGGGTCAATTTTGTATGAAAAACCGATTTAGACTCAGCTTTGTCACCGACTGCCAACAATTTACAAGGATAATATCTCCAGATTAGTAGCCTTTGTATTACCTTCTCGATAATTTTCCAAGGTCCAAATTTATCTTGTTTGTTTGGGGGAGGAGGGAGCGGAACGAACGTTGTGTACCTAAAAGTCAAGTCAATCCAACAGACAATTTGATCGATTCATTAATTGATAGATTTGTTTTTTACGGCTTATCAACCTTTTGGTGGTTATTTAAACCCAGAAAATATTTTTTGACTGTAAGAATTTTTTTGGTGGTGGTGGGGTCTATTAATGACTTACTACATACAAGGATGACTTACTTAGATACAAGTCTTATTAATTAACCCATAGCTGGAGGGATAAGAGGTGGGCTCATATCTTTCCCAAGGGTATTTGTGTGTAAGTGAATATAATAAACTCGACTGGAATTCGAACTCGGCTCTCCGATTTCCAATTTCGATCCGTTATCAATTTCACCACCCGCACATCCAAGCTTACAACACCTGGTATTCCCAAGCGGTCACCCATATAGGTACTGACCAGGTTTGGCGTTGCTTAACTTCGATGATTGTACGAGAACCAGTGTTTCAACGTGATTTGACTTTAAACGCCAAAATTATTTGGGCCTGAAGATTTTTTCAGTAATACTTTTAATGTATAAATAAAATATTTTCCAAGTTAACATATTTGACTTTATCTTTTGCTTATCGAGTAATGCGAGGTATCTCAGCTAGCATAGAATTTGTGTAAACCCCTTTCTTGAAGGGTTTGTAATGCATCTATAGATCATCTCTCAGTTGCGTCTCTGTCTTTGGGCAGAGTGCACTCAGGGGCTACTCTGTCAAAGGACATAGTGGCAACTGAGGACAATTATACTGAGAGGTGCCCAGCCCTGGGGAACAGCTGCCCGAGGCCGCGATCTCTCATTGCACCGGAGAGAGGGATCGGTGCTCGCACCGAGGCCAGCTCAACCGATGGTTGCCGGGGGCTGCGGGCAATTTTTGTTCCTGACCAGGTGTACGCGCTCGGGTCCCTACCTTTAAAAAATGACCTTGTGTCACAACTCGTCTTAGTGGGGAGACAGAGTAAATAACTAGTACTGCATGACTCATATGCTACGCTGGGAATATGTCATCAAAATTCAGTTAATAACTCGGTATCAGGATACAGACTTACTGATCCATCCTCGTGCATATATTTCTTGTTACTCTAAACGTTATTTTTAGTGGATACACGTGTTTGAGTTGCTATCCCTGTTTCTTTTTTATTTAATTAAAAAGTGGAATTAACAATAACCGGCCGAAATTGAGAAGCCCTACTAAAGAGAAATGGTGCTTCCGACAGAAATCGAACTTGCACTCTTTTTTCATGAAGGAAACCACATTTTAAGCCAAAGTCCGCCGCTACCTATTTGACCATCCTAATAAAGCCAGGTTTTTGCAGTTCATGTGATATAATATTTTTGTGTTATTGGTAAGAATTTGTTGAATGTCTGGTTGTTTGTTTCTTGTGTTGGTTGGTGATATGCACTACAGTTAACTATTATCAGATAAATTGTACGTTATTTGGCGCGAAAATGTAGTGGTTGTGTAACCAATATATGTGCAGTTTAAATTATTATTATTATTATTAGAGAAATATATCGACAGTAAATTGCCAGGAAAACCTGCTAAAAATAAAATATAAAATAAGCGTTGGTTTGAGTAAATTTAAAACTTCTAAGCTTGAATCTTATGAAAGCAGAAAAAATACAACAGGTCTTAGTAAGCTAAAAAATGCTAGCTTGTCAACAAAAGTCTCGGCCAAACAACTCCCTTTTAAAGATCAAAAGATACACCGACAAACAAAGCTATTGTCAACTTCATTAAGTTAATACATCTTTTTACTTCCCTTTCCCCTGCAAATTGTAATCAAATTTACTAAAATGTATGAACTTCTTTAATATCAAATGCATGCACATTTTTATGAACATTTTTTAATCATTTCACTTCAAGCAAGGCAATAAAGCCACTACGATGAAGGGGTTACTGAGTGTTAGAGAATATAAGAAAAACGCTATTTATGAGAGAGACCATTAAAAGAACAAGAATCAAGAAGACAGAAGATAACGATTGACATTGCATTTCAATTTTTGAAGATCAAAGTTGACTGAGAAGAAAGAAGCCGCAAAAGAGTTCCACAAGTTAGCACAGAATTTACGATTACATCTAGCTATTTCAACTGTAAAATGATGAGATCTTGACGCCAATCGACTACTGCGCGTAAACTACTGCAATTTTATCAAGAATCTCTAAATATATAGCAGGAACACAAGACCAGATGTGGCAGCAATATTCAAAACATCAAATCATAAGACTGGGTCCTATAAAAAAATCCATCCACATAAAACACACACACATACATACACATAAAGACTTTGTTGTAAAAGTGTAAATAAATTTCAGTCTATATTTTGACATAATTACTGGAAGTTTATTTACTATTAAATATCACTAATTAACAACATTGTGGCGTGATTTGACCAAAGACCATTGTTATTTTCTACAAGGACTAGTATAACGCAGAGAATGTCGATTCTGTACCATGGTTCTCGTTGGGTCAAGTTTGGCGCCAAACTCCAGCTTCGGTGTACAGAACTTCTCAGAATTTCGGATAAGAGACTGGGGTCATCAAATAGCAATTCAGAATGATAACTGTCGTCTATGGAGGGAAAGAGATGAGGCGGTAAACTACATCAAAACAGAATGCAACGAGTTATCTCAAAAAGTAGTACAAAAGCAAGCATGACAGAGTAGGAACAGAGATATCTTGGGAATTATGCAAATGTCCGCAGAGGACATCTATAAAGGAAAACGGGAATCCCTAATAGAGTCGCACTATCTCTTATGTGAAACCTTTACGACCACAAGCCTTTCGAACAACTCGAAATTGTTCGGATTTTCTAATGATATTAAAGATAGCGAATGTAGAGTTGACAGTTGATTGCCACGCATAAGTGAACAACTTATTTTAACAGTTCCACAGTGATATTCACTTGACTCCCACAGGGTCAGGATGTGACACAAGGTCGTTTAACGTGGAAGACCCGAGCGTTTCCACACAAGGGCTACTGGTCCAAAACTGGTCATATCATGTCCAAGCTGGCCAGAGCTTAGTCAAAGCTGGTCATGGCTTGTCCTAGCAGGTCCAGGCCGGAGCCAGTCCAAGCTAGTTGAAGCCTTGATCGAATCTCAGCCAAAGGCCAAGAAACGATCCAATATTTGTCAAAAACCTGAACGAAAAGTCGGGTGAGTTATAACAGTTCCACACTTTTCAAAATGAAATAATCAACAAGAGGAAATAAACAAATGTTGGTCCAATCTTAATTGGGAATGATTACAGAATGATCCAGTTTATAGACAGAAGCACACAAATGCGTGCTAGGATTTCTTCCTAGCTAATGAGATAGGCCACTTGCAGGTGTCATCTGACTCAGACCCGGTTTAACTTGCCTTGAAGTCAGAACGCTGTGTTCGTTCATCCGAATTCGCTCTTGTGTGTCAACCATAATTCTTAGTTTGTGAACGTTTTGACATATTACTTTGTCTTATTACTGTTAATTTGCCTTGCATATATTATTTGCTTGCTTTATATTATTTTTGCCCTTTTCTTTTCTTGTTATTATTTGTTGTAAACTTTGTCAATTCTAAACTATTTACATTACGAACATTACATTGTTCGGACTATAGTCTTCATCTTTGTGGCCGTATTTATCACAACGTTTCGACCGTTGTACGCTCCGGCCTTCTTCAGGTGGTTGGAATATTGAACTGAACCCTTTATTTTGATCGCTAGGGTAGACTATTCTAGTTCCACGTGCCATGTTTAATGGATGTCAGTTATCAGTTATCTCCTGTTAATTCCCCTCTCCAAGTTTTCCACCGCCGTAACCAGGTATTGAACTCACACTCTTTGGGTCATGTCACTGGATCTAACTAACGCCTTTATCCGCTGTGTTATGTGTCCTTGAGGACAGATGGCACAGTGGATAAAGGCGTTATCAGTGGATAAAAACACCTGTTTGTCAATTCTGTTTGTTGGGTAGTTCTGCCATTGATTTACATAGCCACTCACTCTACACAAAAACTTCGTGAGCAGCAAAGAGGTACATCTGACCAGTAGGAGAATTGAGATATAACTGCCCGGTGTAGGTTAAACAAATGACATCTTGAAATAATAACTCCTGCTGTGTTCTACAAGTTCTAGTAGAGTGCAAAGAAATTAAATTTTGCATTTATTGAATTGGGTTAAATTTGACGCCAAACGTGACCCTTAATGTGCAGATAACGGAAAAAAGATACTCGGTTTTTCAAACGTTTCGATTTTCATAATTTTTGATAAGAGATTGTGTACCTGTAATGAAACTATAACGTATCCAATATAGATTTTTTTTATAGCAACATACAATAGAAACATTCGTATACATAGACGGATATGGAAAAGCAGGAAGAGAAATAGAAATTCTAATGCCAGAAGAAGAATATAATGACGTTGTATTTCTCTTTGACATGTCAGCAAATTTATGGTGATGTAAACGCCGGTCTATAAATAGACGTCTCGATGTTAGTGTCAATTTAGCTTATAATTTATATGTAAAACTTTTGCACTAAGCAAGGAACCGAAATGTTATTTGCTATTGGTTGCAATCGGATTATTTCCCTTTGAAGTAATGGAAACCGAAACCACGTCAGATGTCCTTTCAATGGAGAAAAATCCCAATGGAACGACTGCCATTACAGACATTTTTCAAGTAATTAATGAATGAAAAAAATCAGCTCAGCACCTACCCGAGTCAAAAAAAAAAGTCGCAAAGTGAGTGTGATAGAGCAGGGATAAAAAAAAAAAAAGTTATATATATTTCAAAAACCGCAAATATCACGAAAATTGATAACCAATGACAGGCCCAGCCTATCTGTCGTGATAACAATGGTTACAAAACACGGAATTCGATGACAATCAGGAAATGAATATCTACCCATATTACGCATAGGAGCCAGTCAAGAGTGACAATGACGAAAACAACATTCTGGTCCTATTGCCACGTTGAAACACTGGTTCCTGTGCGATCACCAAAGTTAAGCAACGTCAAGCCTGGTCAGTAACTAGATGGGTAACCGCTTGAAAATACCAGGTGCTGTAAGGATAACAGCTCGGAATTGTTAATCGAAGAGCGGAGTTCCAATTCCCGTTGGGTTCGTTATATTCACTTATGCAAAAATACCCTTGGGAAAGATATGAATCCCCCATTTCTCTCCTAGCTATGGGTTAATTAGTAAGACTTGTATCACTAAACCATTATATATATATATATATATATATATATATATATATATATATATATATATATATAACAAAAAAAATATTTTCTACCTTTAAATAACCAACAAAGGGTTGATAAACCGTAGAAAACGAATTAATTAATTAAGACGATCCTTCAACAAACTACAGACTGGCGCTACAAATTCACAAAGGAAGAGTTTTACCAAATAACAAAAAGTTCATCGTTTAAATATTTTCAACAGAAGTAAAAACAAAAATGGGTAACACATGTAACTTCTATGTGCCGCGTCCCTTAAGGACATGGATAGTCTTTGGTATGGCGATAAACTACATACGACAGCATGGCATCTGATCGGGAGATTGGAGATTGTATATTTTGAGGAGCGTAGAAACAACTCTCAATTGCTGTTGTCTCCAGGTCCACCCTGACCCGGGGTGGTAGCACCTCCTAGAGTTCAACAATGGACAAATAATGAACCCCCAAATAAAAACAAAACCCTATGAGAGCATATAAATACATTTTTATCATAGAAATACAAGCAATACAGTTTTATATGAAAAGAATTATCAACAATATATATTTATAGTAAAATTAACAATACAATTTTAAAGCAAAATGAATAACAGTACATTTTATCTGTTGTTGAAGTTCAAAGTATATTTAGCTGAAGCCATAAAATTGTATTCAAAATATTTAGATTTTGGCATTAAATAAATATTGTAACCTAGAAAGCATTACTGAATGAGGAATAATCAAAACGGAGGTTGGAAATGAAATGGTAATCTTTATAACATCAACAAAATACAATACTCGCCAGCGGCGTGAAGTAGGTAAACCACTGCTAATGATGGACTACTTAGACAGCATACTACCCCCACTTATAATCCGTCCTGGGTATGACGATAAACTACATCCGCGTCCTGGGTAAGACGATAAACTACGTCCAACTGCAAAGCCTCTGATCAGGAGGTTTTGATGAGCGTAGAACCACCTCTTAATTGCTGGTCTTCCCAGGTCCACCGTGACCCGGGGTGGTAGCACCTGTTAGGGTTCCAGCTATGGGCAAATAGTTAACCCCGAAACTGAGGTAAAAAGCATTATGAAAGTGTAAAAATAGGTTTTAATACTAGAAATACTTTGTAAAAAATTATTGCCACAAATACATTTTTTAAAAAAACAAACAAACTATTACCATCAATATATTTAAAAAAAAAAATATTACTAGTAATACATTTTTAAAATAATATTACCAGCTATACATTTTAAAGAAAAAAATATTACCAGAAATAGATTTTGACAAAACAAACAGGGAAAAAGTTGTCGGCATTAAATTACCCACTGAGGTTGATATACCGTAAAACAAACCAACCAAACCAACGTATTTATGAAGATTAGAACATACCCATTAGTATTCATAGGTACGGTATATAACCCATAGAGATGTTGATACGCCGCTAAACAAAATCAACCAAAAAACCAAACAGGACATGGACGTTTATGGCTCTCTAAAATTTCCCAACTTTTGTTGCCTTTAGCAGTTTTCTCCCTTTACTAAAGCACCTGCCCCCCCCCCCCCGTTCCGGCATCCATTCACACAAGCTCTTCAGGTATGTAGCTCGCTACCTTCTATTTCTCTTGCCCTCAGTATGCTCTGTGAGGCTTAAGTTTTCCAATCCCACCTTCCTCATTATATGTGCAAAGCATTTCAGCTGTCTCTTCCTGATTCTGATCATAAGTTTACATTTCGTTGCCATTCTCTTTAAGACTTTTTTGTTGCTTACTCGATCTGTCCGTGGAATTCTCAGTATCCTTCTGTAGAACCACATTTCTATTACCTCAAGTTTATCTATGATGAAATTGTTCAGCATCCATTGACATATAAGAGGATTGATATCACATAGCAATCGGCACTCTTTATTTCTAACGAATTTTTTCTGTTTCTCACAACTTTGTTTAACTTTTGGAATGCTTCTTTCGCTTGTCCAATGCTTGTTCAGATCTCGGTGTCACATTTTTCATCCCCTGTTAAAGCACTTCCCAGATATTTAAACTTCTTTACTTGCTTGACCTTGACATCTCCAATTAGTAACTCGCATCATGAACTTTTTCTCTTGCTGGTGACCATATTTTCTGCCTTCTTGCACTAGATGGTTAGTCCTTTTTTTTTTTTTCGTTTTCTTTTACTATCCTGCCTAGGAGGTTCTGTAGTTGTCTTTCTGTGTCATCTACCAATACAGTATCATCTGCGTATTTTATAGTGTTAAGATTACACCCACTGATAATACATCCAGGTAGGGTCTCCAGTTCCATTAACATAGTCTCGCTGTAAAGGTTGAATTAAGGTGGGGTGGGGGCGGAAAAAGACATATTTTTATTTTTGTGTAGCTACTCAATTCATTTTTAATTCATATTCCGGCTATTTTCTCCCAGTATAAGTTCTATGATATAATGAAGCTGTTAACTTTATACATTATCAAAAGCAAAACATTTGGAAGGAAACGCCAATCGATATTAGAAAGAGCGTTAACATTTAGTGGACTTGATAAGTCTAATTTCTTGAAGAACCTTTAATAAAAAGCTTTTATAAAAATAAAACCGACTGTAAAAATGATCGAGCCAAGAATGTCGAATGTTTCCTGTATGGAAACAGTTGATTTTATCATTACCATCTGGTGACAAGAAATAATGCAGATAAAAGTGGATTCATGTCTTTTGAGGATTGAAACCAAACAGCCATCATCAGATTTCGAAATCGTTTGACGATTCTGTTAACGAGCTTGCCATCCACACCTCCAAATTTTTCCACGAATCACGTTGAGTAAAATATGTATAAATAAAGACAGAAATCACAAATGACATTAATCAGTGAGGTAAAGTTAGGAAATTCAAAATGTCACGAAAGGAAAATCTGTTTTAAACTAGAAAGAATAGTATTGAAGATATTTTTGTTGGGTTAATTCAATGATACATCAACCTTTGTTGGATTATTTACTGTTCGATAGAAGTCTTATAGGATAAAAAATTACTATGAATTAATAAATAGGTTTGCTTTACATTAGAGTCAAAAGGATAGACTGAGGGTCCGCTTTGCGACAGTGTCAAAAGAATACACCGTGGGTCCGCTTTGCGAGACAATGACAAAAGGATATACTGTGGGTCTACTTTACGACAGTGCCAAAAGGATGGATTGTGGGCCCGCTTTGCGAGACAGTAGAAGAAGGATAGACCGTGGGTCCGCCTTACGACAATGTCAAAAGGATCTACGATGGGTCCATTTTGTGAGACAGTGGCAAAAGGTTATATCATGGGTCCACTTTACAACAGTGTCAAAAAGATAGACTATGGTATTCAAAATCAAGTCAATTTTTCTATCAAAGATTTTAATGCAATGAACACCCAACGGACCCCAGTATAACGTATTTGGGATTTAACGGAACTTTGAGCATGTTTAGAAATGGCTTTGAGCTAGTAAAGCCTGTGGATCTTGGCGAAGACCAGCCTTTAAACATTGTGGTGCTACGGAATCAAAAACAAAGAATTGTACCAAAAAACAGAAACCACATCACTTGAGGATTTTCAACAACGGCAACATCTAAAATGTGTATCACGTGTAACTCGAAGAGAAAATAATGACATAATGAACATGTTGACATTCCACACTACTCCAAATGGAAAGTTAGAAAGGAAACCTCCATCAATACTGGGTAGAGCGATAACAGATACTGGACTTGAGAAACCTATTTTAGTGTCAAATTGTTTTAAGAGAAAGATCTTGTAAATTTCGACCAAGAGCAATATTGGCCGCTTGGTCAATGAATCCCGAATCTTTCTATGTAAGGAAACGGATAATATTACTATTATCATTTCATTCATATCATATATTCATTGTATTGGGTGAACTTTAGCCTATTAAGCCTTTGAGCTCTGCGTTCCTGAACAATTTTAACACTTCTGCCTGAGCTCCTGAGTTAAAATTCGCAAATGATTGGTATGTAATGTTTCACAGTAGATATAATAATAGTTACAAGTGTTTACCCACCGTTCAACCGGTAGCTAGGCATTGTCATTTTTCTCTACAACTGTCCAACCAGTGGCTGGACATTACGTCATTTTACTTTACCATTGGTAAAGCGGTGGTCAGGGCTCAAAGGGTTAAAAATATTTAAACAATCGATTAAAACATTTTGGTGTTTTTACTTTAATTATGATTATTTCCTAATACCTTATAAGGTATATGCAAGTCTTTGAAACAAAAAATCGGAAAGATACTTAATTGACTGGTTTTGTTTTTTTATAGATTATCAATCTTTTAAGCCAGAAAATATTTTAAACTGTAAGAATTATTTTGGAGATAATAATGATTTACTAATACAAATCATACTAATTAACCCATAGCTGGGAGAGGAGAGATGGATTCATACTTTCCTCAAATATATTTTCGCATAAGTGAACAAAGCCGACTGGAATTGAAATTTGGATATCCAATTTCAAATTCCGAGCTGTTATCCATTATCCCAACAGCAGATTCAAGATTACAGTACTTGGTATTCCCAACCAGTCATCCATGTTGGTACTGATCAGACTCGAGGTTGCTTAACTTCGGTGATCGTACAAAAACCGATGTTTCAACGTGATACGGCCGTAAGCCTGCATAATGCTGAATATCTTTGTTCGTAAAAGAGATTGTAAAACCAAGGCTTAATGAAATCTTCAGCTATTTGAGTCTTAGCCTAAAACGAGACATTTCGGAGGTTAAAAGGTTTTATGTGCTTACAAGCAGCGCTCAACTGTTTGAAAAGTTGAACCAAAATAATTAACTCTTTACGTTTGAGAGTGTCAGTGCCGGCCAAAAGGAGGTCAGAGAACTTATTAAGAATTTATAATGGCTAACGAACGAGGTTTTCCTACATTATCGCCAAGCCCGCGTACGTTGTGCGTGATAATGCTGAGGGTAAGGGGCGAGGCCGAATCGGACGGGTAGAGATTTGTGAAGAAGGAAAGCCAAAGGTCTTAGTTTTTACAGGGTTGTGTTTGGCGAGATTGTTTGCTAAATTTGTTAATATCAAACGAGTAGGGTCGAGAATTTGAAACGGTTAAAAAAGCGGACTGTCGGGGAGGAAAAAAGAAAAATAAACGGCCTAGTGATAATAACGCGAATAACATTTTGAGGAAGAGAGGAGTTTTAAAAAAAAGGAAAAGAAAGGAAGAAATACAAAGAAAGAATGGAAGGAAAATGAAAGATGAAAAATGGCGATAGAGAATCAAAAATAATACTAATGAAAGGAGGTAAAGTAATTTAAGTTCAATCAGAGATAAAAAGAAAGAAAAAAAAGAAAGAGTTAAATAAAGCAAAAGTCGGTGTTTCTAGATTTTAAGAAAAAAAAGAGAAGAAATGAATAGAAAATAAAAAAATATCAAAGCCAACAAAGAAAAAAAAAGACGGAAAAGAAAAAGAAGGAAAAAACAAAAGAAAAAAAGGAAAATACAAAAGAATAAGAAAGAAGGAGAAACAAAAGAAAAAAGAAAGAAAAACAAAAAAGGAAAAAACATAAAGAAAAAATCAAATAAAAATAGAAGAAAAAAAGAAAAAACCGAAAGAAAAGACAATGGAAAAACAAAAGAAAGAAGGAAACAACGAAAGAATAAAAGAAAGAAAAAACAAAAGAAAAAAGAAGGAAAATCAAAAAAGGAAAAACAAATGAAAAAAGAATAAAAAAATCAAAGAAAAAGATGGAAAAAAACAAAGACAAAAAAAAGAAAAACAAAAAGAAAAGACAATGGAAAATTAAAAGAAAGAAGGAGACAAAAAAGAATAAAAAAGAAGGAAAAAAAAAGGAAGCACAAAACAGAAAAGAGAAAAAATAAAAGAAACAAGAAAGAAAGGAAATGAGAAAGAAAGGAAATAAAAGACAAGAGAGACAAAAGAAAGAAAAGAAAAGAGTTTATGCATATACAAAAAAAAAGATAAAAAAATGTCTAAGAAAAAAGGATGCGCTGATAGCCGTGATCAAATTCTAGGCTAGTCTATTGCATTTACTTTTGCACTAATCTCAAGCAGTTTTCTCGTTCGTTTTTATTTTTCGGTCATACGAAAAATAAAAACGAACGAGAAAACCAAAGTAAGAAAAATAGAAACAAGAAAAGGAGGAAATTATGCATAGACAAGTGAAGGGAAAGAAAAAAAATATATTAGAAAAAGTGAAAGAAAGTGTAAAAGAAAATAAGGAAAAGCAATCAAGAAAGGGAAATAGAGAGGACAAAGGAAAAAAATGAAAAGAGCTAATTTCAAAAAAGAAAAGAAAAAAAAACGCCAACAGCAAATGAAAAAGAAAATAAACTTAACCCTAACCCTGCCGAAGATAAGAAAGAGTGAAAAGGAGGGAAAAGTAAAATAAACAGAAAGAGAAAAGAAGAGAAGAAAAAGTCAGAACACAAGTAAAGAATAAAAAAAGGCAAGTAGTGACATTGAAAAAGAAGAAACAAAAAAGAAACAGACATGAACGTGACACTCGTGAAAAAGAACTAGAATTAAAGGTAAAGTGGGAAAATGAAGAGATATGGGTGAAACGCCCACAAAAAAGGTAGTAAGATGGAATAAAATGAAAAGAAAAAAGGGAATAGAAAAAAAGCAAAAAAAAAAAAAGAAAAAGAAAGAGTGTAAAGAAAAAGATTTATGTGAATTTCTACGCCATCTTCAATATGGATGACACGTTCACGAAGAAAATGTACCGACAATCTTTGACATATGTAAACTAACAGACAGCTATATTCTCCTTCGTATTCCGGGCACAGAACACCTGTGAATATATAATTACAAAGAATACAAATAAAACCTTGACCCCTTAAAAAATAAAGAAAGAAAAGAATAAAAAAAATGCCCATTCCTAAGGGAATTGAAAATTAAAAATGTTACATGAGTGCTATTTCAATGTTTACGTTGCGATAATAATTCAATCAGTACCGATTTTTACTGAATAAGACACATCAATGTTTTTATTATTTTATTTATTTAATTTTTAATCGATTTCGCCCCGAACAAGTCAGTAAAACCACTGAGACACAAGTGGTTATTGGGCGTAGAAGAGTTCGTATTGATTTATTTTTTAAGTCAAGGATTTTCTTCTATTTTATTATGTTTATTCCACAGTAGGAATCTTTACAATTTGGCCTTAAAACATTGAAAAATGACATTGTAATATATATATATATATATATATATATATATATATATATATATATATTCATTCGTATGTGCGTTGTTTAAAGCATTGTGCACATTGTGTTATTTTTTTCGTTTAAAGCGTAAAATATTTTATTTATATACATGTTGGTATATTAAAATATATTACAGTATTTTAGTATAAGATCGTATACAGTATGTGATACAGCATGAGACACCAGAAAGATGAGAATAAAAAGATACAAAAGAAATTAGAAAGCTAAAGGATAAAAATATATAACTATATAGGGGTAAAATATATATATATATATATATATATATATATATATATATATATATATATAAAGACGTTCACGTGATTTTCTTAAAGTATCTTTTTACAGATAAAGTCTCCGTAGAATAACAATCAATATTGCAAGCCAACCATTCGGGTATTCTCCAATCGTTCTGGGTCTTTGTACATCAATCCAAAATCAGCGAGATATTGCCTTACGCGTGTTGCAGATGTCACGTCTTCATTGACGTAGATATCATACTTATAAAACCCAGGTTGTGTGTGTGTGTCTGTTCGTTTATATATTGGATCGGATTTCCTACATTTTTCAACCGATTTCAACAAAACTTCACAGGACTACATAAAATTAGATTGAGGTGGTTCTGACAGTGCCAAAAATTGGAAAAACACAATTGTTTTTGCACAGAATCAATTTGAAAACACGATTGAGAGGCATTAATGAAAGGGGACAACTCATATCGAGTTATACTTATTATAAAACTCAGGTTGGTTGTGTGTGTGTGTGTGTGTGTGTGTGTGTGTTCGTTTATATATGGGATCGGATTTCCTACATTTTTCAACCAATTTGAACAAAACTTCACTTTTTTTTTTACAGGTCTTATTGTCTTGCACACTTTTTTCTTTATTTTTACATTCAGAATGCTTTAAAAATTCCATTTACAAAACAATTGTTTATAATAAAATTCTATTCAATCGGTAGACTCATAACGATTGAAAACAATGTTTTTGTTTGAGTTTGGGTTTCGTTAAAAAAAAAAAAAAAAAAAAAAACTAATTAAGACATGCGTGTCCGTCAACCTTAAACAATAATCTTTGTCAATTTTATTTTTCAGTCTTTATGATGGTCAATACTTGATCTATCGCTTCCTGTTACATCCCTGGGCAACGCCAGGCTCTACTGCTAGTCATCAATATAGGATGAAGTAGCCTGGAGAATGGACTCATCTTTTGTCGGCAGGATATCCACAATGGCTTTCATGATAGCCGGTGTCACATTAAGCCCATCAGCAGTACGATGACCAAGAGGAAAGTTAAACACTAGCGGTGTGTGGACCCGAGTTGGGATGGACATCACTCATCGCGATGGTAAATATTACCTGACGCTGATTGACTGTGGACCCACTCGATTCACAATCTGGCGACAAATGCATCGAAAAGATTCAGCCAGAATTATCAATCATTTAAAGGCCCTATTTTTTTAACGGGAACCTCCTACTGAACTTCTCACAATGTCACTCCTTTCCGTAGTAAACGATTCAAGGAGTTTTTAGACGGGTGGGAAATCCATATCCGTTTCCGCTAAGCGCACATCCTCTCCGATAATGGGAGAGTTGAACTTTGCTACCGAAACGTAAAGCGAATTGCCACGAGGAAACAATGCTCAGTGACGGAAGCCGTATATTGGCACAACATTACACCTAAAGATAACGTTCCACCTTCCGCCAATGGGATTTACCATTATAGAGTCCGGCCACAAGGTATTGATAAAACACCTTCACCAAAGCAAAAACGTGGACGATTGATATATGAGTTAGAGGACCGTGTGTAGATAAAGCCCCCTCAAAACCGATGTCCAACACAATATCAAGTGAGACGTGTCACAGGGATTAGAAGCCCGCGTGCGAATTTTGTTGCTGGAATGCCGCGACATGGGAGGGATCTGAACCCCTTTGTCGGTTCAAACACATCAACAAGTGATGTCGACAGCGAGTCCTCTAACAATGAGGGACTGGTCAAAATAAGAGATGCCCCGAGTATGTTCTCGGGAGAAAACTACGCTCAGCCTAGTGGAAATACGTCTGATGTCCCTTGGGGAGGGGGGACGATTCATCGGAAGAGGAGACGGTAGTTGTTCCTTTGAGAAGAAGTCTAAGGATTAAGAGACTCGCCCCTGGTTGTCACCTGTGTGATCATGAGATTAAGATGGTGGGTCTGGCGAAAGAGAGTCACTTACCGAGAAAAAGGGCACGTGTGTCCTGTACGATATGCCGAAATAGGTTGTTCATAAATTGATGTGACAGTTCAATTACAAAACGAAATAAACAAATCGCAAGTTCAAACTCAAAGAGGCAGAAAGAAATGTCGAAATCACGAAATACAGGTTCAATGTTAAAAATCCCAATAGACGTAAACGGTCAGAAATACATTCAGTCGCAGCTTTTGCCTTAAATGCATCTTGGATATGTTAATATTGCTTGTCTTCTCCAACCGTCGGCCAATGAAAAAAAATTTCCGTCGATGAAAGCAGTTGGTGTTCTCGAATTGGAGGTAGTTTTATTTTTCTAACCCGTCTGTCCGCTTGCGAGTGACTGTTGCCTTGTGCTTTAGATATCTGACCGTTTACATGTATTGGGATTTTTGACATTGGACCTGCAATTCGTGACTTCGACATTTCATTCTGCTCCTGGATCTTCGAGTTTGGACTTGTGATTTGTTTAGTTCGTTTTGTAATTGAGCTACCATATTAATTTTTGAATACTAAAATTTTCCAAATAAAGTTTAAGAAAAGTATATTTTATTTTTTTGAAAGACTTTTTAATACAGAAAATTACATTTCGATGAAAGATGACTAAAAAAGGGCGCTAATCAGCTATTTTAGAAAAAATCGATTCCAATCGATATAATTTCAGTTTTAACTACATCAGAGCATTTTGCTTATTGGAAATAATAAGCTTAATCCTTTAGCTTTCAATTAAAACTAAAATGAAATTTTAATCGGAAGTTCGTAACGGAGTTTCATTTGAATTAGCATCTTTTTTAACACTTTGGAGTGGCGCCATATTGACAAAATATCTCGTCAGCTGTTTCAGAACAACCATTACTTTCATTGTCTTCATCACTCTCTTCAAATTTTGTTTAATCCTTATCCAATTCACTGTCAGAGAAAAAGATAAAGAAAAAAATTTCTCGCAAAATATTTCATCGGAATAAAGAAAATTAAAGTTTAGCTGATTCCTTAAAAATGTCACCAAAAGTAATCTGTTTTGCTATCGTGATATTAATAAAACTTTTTAAGATTTCTGTTGAAAATATTTTACAATCTATTTTTGAGAGAGGTACTAAAAAACATCGCTAACTGATGCTGTCTAATACAAACTGAAACTCCTTTACGAATTTGGTAAAATAATATACAGAAGAAAGAGGAATATTAAATATGAAAAATGATTACAAAAGTTTCTATACTTTTTCTGCTAAATAATTAATATATATATATATATATATATATTATAAATTAATTGATTTAAAATATGGTTATTTTCGCTACACAGTTCCAACCATGTTTCAAAAATAGAAGCTAAAACCCCTAATTTTATTTTTTTGCAAATAAATTAAAAGCATTAGTTCTATTTCATCTTCAAGCGAATTTTGGAGTAACTTTTAAAATTTACCGGGTTTTAAATACACAGCTAAAATCACGTTTCCATGGTTACAGAATATTCTACTCAAATTGAACACGGGGTGTCTAGATTTTCCTTATGACAGTATCATTGTATCAGTTATTAGCTACATTTTGGTAAATGTAAACTGAAACCTGACGTCGGTTGAATGGATGTCGTCTGAATTTTAAAAAAAAAAAAAAAAAAAAAAAAAAAAAAAAAAATTGTTAACGGCAAAAAATTTTCAACGTCATCTTTTAAAATTAAAGATTTTTTTTTTTTTTTACAATACTTTTTATTTAACTACGATTTGAAATATTTTCCTTTTTAATTTTTATTTTACTATATTCTTTTTAAGAACAGTTAAATGTATTAGAATCCATTATATTATGTAGGATTATTTTAACATTAAGTTTAAGTATGTATATGAGGTTACATTTTTTTTTTTTTTTTTTTTTTGTATATGACTATGACAGCAGAAATGGTTACTTAATTTCACTGATTCAGTAAACTTTTCTTTTATATATAAACCTATTATTATAATATTTCACATGTAAGTACTGAGGACATGGGTCATTCAAAAGCTTACATGTTATGGTATTTATATTAATTTTATTTTACTATAGGTGTTATTTTTGGATTCTTTTTTAATGCGTGTAGTATTATTTAAAAGAAATTTAGGTTAGAATTCATTCAATTTAACTACAATTTTAATTACAAATTCAAAATTACAACTTTAAAATTTTAAAATATTTTCATTGTTTAGTTTTAATAGACTATATTACTTTTATAACAGAAGGAAAATTACTCATATTAAGTAAGATTATTTTTCCATATCAAAGTATATGTTTATTTATTTATTTATTTATTCATTTATTTTTTTTTTTTTTTTTTTTTTTTTTTTCTCTTTAATTTAAATATTATTTAAGTAATATTAATGGCACTTACTACAAAACTAGCTAAGTCATTTCTCAGATTTAGTAAACTTTATTTATTTATTAATTAATTAATTTATTTATTTCAAATATATGTAACCTAATTAATAAAGTTTCATATGTATGTATAAATAACATGTTAGAATTCATTTTATTTTACTAAATTTTAATTTCAATTTTAAAATTTTAAAATTATAACTTTAAAATTTTAAAAATATTTTCATTGTTAGTTTTAATTTAGACTATATTACTTTATAACAGAAGGATAATTACTCATAGTAAGTAAAAAATTTTTTTTCCTATCAAAGTATATGTAAATTACAATTTTAAACTTTTAATTTAGATATTATTTAAGTAATATTAATGGCCCAGACTACAAAACTATCTAAGTCATTTCTCAGAATTAGTAAACTTTATGTATTAATTCAAGTTTAAGTATGTATATGAGGTTACATTTTTTTTTTTTTTTTTTTTTTTTTTTTTTTTTTATATATATATAAACCTAGTGATATAATGTTTCTCATGTAAGTACAAAGGACATGGGTCATTCAAAAGCTTACATCTTATGGCATTTCATATTAATTTTATTTTACTATATTTGCTTTTTTGGGATTCTTTTTTAGTGCGTGTAGTATTATTTAAAAAGAAACTTAGGTTAGAATTCATTCAATTTAACTTTAATTTTAGTTTCAATTTTAAAATTACAAACTTTAAACTTTTGAAATATTTTCATTGTTAGTTATATTAGACTATATTATTTTATAACAGAAGGAATATTACTCATAGTAAGTAAAAATTATTTTTCAATATCCAAGTATATGTAAATTACAATTTTTAAACCTTTATATTTTAAAATATTATTTTAGTAATATTAATGGAACTTAAAAAATTAGCCAAGTCATTTCTCGGATTTAGTAAACTTTATTTATTACTTAATTTATTTATTTATTTTAAATATATGTAACCTAAGTAGTAAAGTTTCATATGTATGTACCAAGAACAGGTTAGAATTCATTTTATTTAACTATTTTAATTACAATTTTAAAATTACCACATTAAAATTTTAAAATATTTTCATTGTTAGTTTTAATTGACTATATTACTTTATAACAGAAGGATAATTACTCATAGTAAGTATAATTATTTTCCATAACAAAGTATATGTAAATTACAATTTTAAAACTATTATATTTAAATATTTAAGTAATATAAATGGCACAACTACAAAACTATCTAAGTCATTTCTCAGATTTAGTAAACTTTATGTATTAATTAATTAAATTATTTATTTTAAATATATGTAACCTGAGTAATAAAGTTTCATATGTATGTACAAAGAACAATGGGTCATACATTACCTTACATCATCTAGCTTTAGTTATAATTTCATTTTTCAGGAGGTGTTTTATCAGATTCATTCAAGTGTTTGTAGTACATTTATTATAGAGGTGTTTCGGTTAGGATACATTTTATATATATATATAATCCTTCGAGATTGATTTGATTATTGGCAAATCAAAATTCGAAGGTTTTTTTTAAGACGAGTATAGTTACCTATATTTATAAAGCTCTAGGTTACTCTATCGAGCATTGTTTTAAATCAACTAATATGGTTGACTATATATATATATATATATATATATATATATATATATATATATATATATACATCAGAAACACTGACCTTCTTGCAACCACGATTTCTGCCAAGATGGCTTTGTCAGGCAACAAGTCATTGTTTCATCTAAAAAAACAACCCATAATTATATTTGTACCGGCAGTAGAAGGAGGAGATTGAAAAAGGTGGAAAGAAAAAAGTGATAGAGGTAAAAGTGGGGTAACCATTTGTATAGGTCCTCCTATCCATAGTTGCAAGAAGGTCAGCGTTTTTAATGTTTTATATATTCCTTTTCTAGGAATGGTGAAATGATGTAAGAGCCATGGCGCAAATTTACTGTAGATAACCTTGCAATCAAGGTACGCTCTAGACATTTAGTCGTAGTGAATTATTTCCTCCTCTGATTAGAGTAGCATTTTTATGTCAAAATTATGGTCAGTCTTCTTACGGTGGGAAACCAACGCATATGATGTAGTGTTTTGTAAAATGTCCTGTTTGTGTTCATATAATATTTTACTTAGATTCCTTGAGGTTTTTCCTATTTATTTTTTGTGACAATTATTACAGGCGATTGAGTAAATTTCTTCTGTTTTCAACTCATTGTTTTGTTTAGTGTTGACTAAGTCTTTTATTATTTTGGATGTAGTAACAAAATTTATGTTGATTCTTTTCGATTGTAGATGTGATAGAGTTAGTTGGTAGGATTATACATATATTTTTGATTTATTGAGTTTTAAAGGAGGAGCCGTATTTTTTATTCATTTTATTTTTTTTTGTTTTAGAATATTTTAAGGACCGTTTGTTTCGCATTGAATCTAAATGAATTCAGTTAGATATAACAAAAAACTTCTAAAATGTCCAACACACCTCGTTCGTGCGCATGTGTAGTCCTACCAACACA